GGCGCCACAAGGGAATCAGGAGGATTGGCCATTGGGGCTTGATTTGGGTGTCAAACATAGGGTAATTAACCCCAAAATGGCTTGCCCCGGCAAACGGAAAGGACATTCAATCCAAAAAGCTCCAACTCCTTTTTGGTTTAAAGTGTTGGGAGGCGACGCATATCTTTTCTGAGCGATATGAGGCCTTTCAGGCCGCGGCGGTGCGAGACGATCTGGAAAAGGCTCGCTCACGCCAAGCCTTCGCGTTCGCGTCGGGGTTTGCGGTCGCGTAAGGGCCCGGTTCGGGCCGGGGTACTTGGAGTATGTGTCACCATGGTCCCCGCAAAATGGTGCTCCTTTGACTTGCTGAGTTAAAAGGATTTGATCCTTTTTGGGCAGGCCATCTTAGTGGCAAACAAGATGTGTTTTTTCCGACTTTTTTGGGGTTTTCCCAAGGCAGCGGGAGCCTCACGAAGTGCAGTCCACAAGTCTACAAATCCACCGATGGGCCGCCAGCATAGGTTCGCGTTGGCTATTTCGAGCACTTGACGCGAGAGTTCCAAATGCCAATGTCAGCAAGTTCATCGTCTTAATTAGTCTCCAGTCCAGGCTTCAAGGGCATTTGCAGCTATGGGCATTTGCATTTGCTGGTATTTTTTAGCATACCACCAATCCAAGCTTTTAAGACGGTATATTCCCTCCCACTGACTCACATAAAAGTGCACAGACCCCTGTAGAAAGACGATTTTCCTCTTGAAAGGGGGCCACATGTGCACCAACCCGTGTTGCTGGGAGGGTAGCCGCGTAGCCCTCATACACGAGGTATATAAAGCCTCGTCCTATGTGACACTCGCCTGAACCCGGGTGCGTCAGGAAATGGAGGAGCTGCGGCAGCGGCAACAAGTGCTCAGTGTGGGCCCTGGCTGTGGCTCAGTCTGGGAATGGCGTATGATTGATGCTTCACTGGCCGTTTGGAGAGGACATGGAGGGCCAAATGTCCAACAGAGGTCACCTTTTGGGGAAGAGATGCACTTGCCCTTTCTCGCCCCTTTTTAGGTTGGGAGGGTTCACAAATAGATTACACCAGCATAGACCCCAGATAGCAGAACCATGACGCAGCACCATAACGGTTCCCAAAGCATCATGATGATGTTGTCAACATCATCATGATGATGTTAACATCATCATGATGATACCACAGCGACTCATGCATGATGCGCTAAATAGACGCGCAGGCAACGTCCTAATGAGTTCAGCAGCATAATGATGATGTTGATAGCATCATGCTGATACACCAGCCACGAACGATCCCGCGCTACATATCTAGCACAACGAGGCAGAGACTGCGGCATCATGATGATACGAACAGCATCATGATGATGCGGACAAAATCCTAACGACGGGGACAGCACCACCACGATGCGGACAGCATCATGGTGATGCGAGCAGCATCATGGTGATGGCAATGGTAGCATCATGATGATACAGCCACAAAATCATCTTGCGACAGCGTTTGGAAACATCCTGATGTTGACAGCATCATGCTGCCACCACACCCGCGAAACATAACCCAGCATCGCAGTGATTCCAGCAGCATCACGACGTGGTTGCCAACATCATCATAATACACCAGCCACAAACCACTATACGCGACAGAATCGGTGCAACAGCATCATGATGCTGCGGACAGCATCAGGAGGATGCCACAACCACGCTACCCCGAACAGCACCCGCCCTAACACCCTGCCATCCATATGCCCACACCAACACCAACGCCGCAAAAACTGCAGCCCCGCCAGCGCCCCAACACAGCACTGTCACGCGCAGTCAGCAGCACCTCAAAAAGCAACAACGTAAAACAGCACTTGCACCACCACCCCAAACTGCATGCCCTCTAGCACCCGCCGGTAATCTCGGCCCAACGTCACCAGCACCTCAAACAGCTCTCCAAACAGCGCCCCAAAACAACACCTGCATCAGCACCCCAAACTGCATGTCTGGCAAAAATGCGCCTGCACCATCACCACCACCTCAAACAGCGCCCCTGAGCAGCACCTGCGCCAGCACCACACACTGAATGCCCCCTAGCACGCGCTGCCAAACAGCACCTCCACCAAACCGCATGCAGTCTCGCAAAACAGCACCTCCACTAGCACCCCAAACTGCATGCCTCCTAGCGCCCGGCCGTCAAGCTCGCCAAACAGCGCCTCCACCAGCACCCCAAACCGCATGCCCCCAAACCGCATGCCTCCTAGCGGCCGTCAAGCTCGCCAAACGGCACCTCCACCAGCGCCCCAAGCCGCATGCCCTCTAGCACCCGGCCGTCAGTCTCGCAAAACAGCACCTCCACTAGCGCCCCAAACTGCATGCCTCCCAGCACCCGGCCGTCAAGCTCGCCAAACAGCACCTCCACCCGCACCCCAAACCGCATGCCCTTTAGCACCCGGCCGTCAGTCTCGCGAAACAGCACCTCCACCAACACCCCAAACTGCATGCCTCCCAGCGCCCGCCCGTCAAGCTCGCCAAACAGCACCTCCACCAGCGCCCCAAACTGCATGCCCCCCAGCGCCCGGCCGTCAGTCTCGCAAAACAGCTGTCAGTCGGCCGTCGTCATACGGCATCATGAACATGTACCCTAGCCAAGTGCTGGTGAGGAAGTTCCAGGAGTGCAGCGTCAGCTTCGGTTACTGTAGGATATTGCCACCTAGGATTTCTCACCTGCGCACGACCTGGCCCAACTGAGCCGGGAACACGTTCTGAAGCGCCATGGCTTGGACGTGAAGATCAATGTGGACGAGTCGTCTCGAACCCCTCCCCCGGCCACTCCTTCCTCTGCTCAGACTTCACCTACGTCGGATGGCAAGGCCGAAAGTGGAAGAAGCCCCAAATGCAGAAGCAACGCGTTTGTAATCGAGGAGTAGAACTCCAGGCTGGCTGGCTGCGACAGTTGGGTCATGATAGTTGTGGAGACTGCCATCAGCGTTGTGTGACTGTGGAGGTGCTGCTTTGCGGGCCGGGTGCTACGGGGCATGCAGTTTGGGGTGCTGCTGTTTTGCGAGCTTGACGGCCGGGTGCTAGGGAGCATGCAGCTTGGGGTGGAGGTGCTGTTTGGCGAGATTGACGGCCGGGTGCTAGGAGGCATGTAGTTTGGGGTGTTGGTGGAGGTGCTGCGGCATGTGGTGCTGGCGGAGGTGTTTTGCGAGACTGACGGCCGGGTGCCTGGATTCCTGGTGGAGGTGCTGCTTTGCGACATTGACGGCCAAGTGCTGGTGGAGGTTTGCGAGCTTGACGGCCGGGTGCTCGGCGTGCGGGTATCCAGTTTGGGTCGCTGGTGCAGGCGCCGCTTTGCGAGATTGATGGCCGGGTGCTAGGCGGCATGTAGTTTGGGGTGCTGGGTGGAGGTGCTGTTTTGCGAGCTTGACGGCCGGGTGCTAGGGGCGGCTAGTGGAGGCGCCGCTTTGCAAGATTGACGGCCGGGCGCTAGGGGCATGTGGGTGCTGGTGGATGTGCTGTTTTGCGAGATTGTCGGCTGGGTGCTAGAAGCATGCAGTTTGGGGCGCTGGTGGAGGTGGGGGTGCTGTTTGGTGCCTCTGCTGTTTAAGGTGCTGATGGACAGCCAATGACCTTCAAAGAGCGCGGATGCCTTTTGATGTTGCTCAGAAAAGGCTGCATCAGCGGCATTGTCGCCAGCAGTGAGCTCGAGCCAGGTGCCGACCGTTGTGCCATCTGCTTGGATCGGAGAAGAAGCCTCCCGCTCCTCTTGATTCCGCAGGAACAAGCAGCTTCGCGTGACAGACATTGGCCTGACGGGTCACAGGAGTCAGCCGGGCTGCTTTGCCATCATGAGCCGTTTGCTGTGGCGCAGCCGCCCATCTTGAACGAGAGCCCGCAGACTGCTCCGCTTTGTTCGCATCACCTGTCAGCGACCGCTTCTGAGTTTGAGGGGTTGCGACGTGGCCAAAGCCAGGAATCATTTTGGCACCAATGCATGCCTCTTCTGGCTTGATCAGTGCTTGTCATGTTGGTTGAGTTGGTATACCACCCTTTGAACTGAATTCCTGAGACGCATTGAACATGATTTCTTTCAGCTCGCTCACAACCCTGCTTGAGCAAAATGCGCGCTACCAGGCAGACTCAGACGCAGCGGTGCCTGTTTTAAACTTTGTCAATCGCCGTCGTACATTGCCCACCATCACCCCAAACTGCATGCCCCCTAGCACAGGGCCGTCAATCTCGCAAAACAGCACCCCCACCAGCACCGTCAAGCTCGCAAAACAGCACCTCCACCAGCACCTAAACTACATGCCGCCTATCACCCGGCCGTCAATCTCGCAAAACAGCGCCTCCACCAACACCCCAAACTGCATGCCCCCGGGGAAACATGTAAAATTGCACCTTGATTGCCCCAAAACCGACCGGATCTAACCAAGTTGAACCTTTTTATTCGTGGGTCTTTGGGCAACTGGTGGCACCTTTGGTATATGGGGGGTGATCAAACTATTTGTGATACATGGCGTGACCATTAGGGAAACCACGAAGAAGATGTAACATTTTCACCAGTGGATGGGAAAAAAACTACCCATAGTCATTTGGGGGCCGAAGGGAACATTGATCACCCCGCAAATGGAAGCCAAGGCCTGCGGTTTGCCCTGGGTCTTTGAATTTTGAGCCACACCCACATAAAGGCTCTAGGTGGCCTACTGTTGGTTTGGGCACCAACCGAATTTCCCACAACCATGAGGACAACCCAGTTGTACCGTATCTTTTTCGGGAATCGAATGACAAACACATGAGAATCAAAACACATGTTGACAGTTGCGAATGGGCTGCATAGAATCCTGGGTTGACCTCCCAATTCTTTCAGCCAAGCGAGAGAGAGACGAGCACTGGTTCGGCTGAGGCCGCGAGAGGGAGACCTGGTTGCAGGCCTGCGCTACCTATGCAAATGTGTGAGTCAAAGCCCAAAACCTGCTGGGTGCTTGTTAAGTCACCCGGATACGGTGTGAAGTCGCCCGGATGAGATGTGTGTCCCCATGCAGATCTGTGTTCAGACACCCACTCAAAGTAGTTGTGGAACAGCACTTTCAAGTATGGGCCGTGTGTGCTTGTTTTGGAGGTGCCAAAGGAAAATTGAAAGGAGAAACATCATGTTGAATGACACCCAGATGATGGGAGGGCAGGAGACATTCCCAACCACAAGAGAGACTTGTGTCGATTCGTAGACTCTAAAAAACAATCAGGTGGTGTTTAGACTTGTGTGTTGAATGCACTGGCGGACGACAAGAAACGGTGAGTCGACGCTCGCCAGCCAGTTGTTGGGGAAAGTTGGTGAACATGCCAGCTCGTGGGATGATGCTCTCCTGTGCACAGAATCAGCGCATACCGAAGGATCGTTGCCTGACCTGTGGGCACGAGACGGTCTAGCTTCATCCAAGCCGACGAAAGTTCCGGTCATTTGCTGGTTTGGGCAGGGTCAGACATGGGACAGCCCAAACTCCCCACAAAGAACAGCATTTCCTCGGCATTTCCTATGTCCTTCTTTGGGGTCTCTAACGGGCAAAGCCAGGAGCGAGAGTCCTTGCAGCAGCAGCTGCAAGACTCAGTGGAGAAGCTGGAGAGAGCTGAGGCAGCCCTGTGAGTTTTTGGCTGGATGGAACAATTGTTTGTGGGGATGTACATCATTCCAGGCTTTCTTAGGTGGTGCAGGATTCCGTCCATCCACAGTATGAGTCCTGCGCAAAACCGGCCAGCGAACTTGGAGAAACTCATCCGGCGGATGATGCCGAGCTTGGGTTCAAATCAATCCTCCCAAATCAATCCTCAAGATCCTTGCGCCAGCTGGTCGTGTTTCTTTTATTGAAGTGTTTGTCTTACTCAGGTATATAACTCTTAGATTTGGATTGGCTGTTTGGGGATTTGAAGCCCTTGTCCTCATGCAGGGTTGATGGGAAACCCCCCTTAATCACCAAACCACCAATCCAAGTCACCAAGCAACGAGGGAGGCTGACTCCCTGCGGATCCCGAGCCAGTCTGGGGCTCGGAGGCCAAAATGAAGCGCCTCGAGAAGAGTGAAGCAGAGCGCCCCCGGAAGGCCCGCGGGAAGGTAGAAGGTGGTGCTGGGAGATCGGAAAAATTTGCGTTGCCTCTACTCTTGTGGATCTAAATGTTTGTGCCACGCAATGCCTGAATCGTTTCGGTTCGTCAACCATGAACAATTGACCCACAGCCAAGTCGGCACTTGAGGTGCGAACTGAAGCCGCAGGCTTCCGTGCCTTGGACCGTCAGGAAGTCTCTCGGCCTTCGTCAGCAGTGCAGCGACAGGCGCGGGCGCGGCGCGGGCGCGGCGCGGGCGCGGGCGCGGCGCGGGCGCGGGCGCGGCGCGTGCCCGTCCGGGACTTAGGGCTGACATGTTTGGTCATGTGCCCTGTTGAAGGCAAGAATGGATTGTTCTCGGAGATGGAGCATTCTACATTGATCAATTGCAATTTTAATTTAAGCTTGACTGTGCAAACCTTTACAAGATCCAACATCTCCGATCTCTCAAATGCCTTTGTACCCGCAATTAAGCGTGATTTGTTTCCTGAGGGGAGTTGGGAGGGCCCATTCTTCGGCGTGAATTTTCACCTTTTGGTGCGTTCCCCTCCAAAGTTTCTTCCACTCGGCGTGCCACTCGCTTCCCCGGTCGGCAGGCGGCCGAGCTCACGCAGAAGTCGGATGAGCTGAGCCAAAAGCTGGCCGGAGCCTTTGGCTTCAGTGGCTTGCAGCTTGCAGTTCTCGGGGTCAGGGGCGGTGGTCAAAGGTTCTTCTTCTTGCTCAGCAGGGAAGGAGGGAATGAACCTGGGGAAGAAAGGAAACCACCAGTTGGATGGGAGAATAGGTGGTCATTCCGACTCGGATCTGACCTTTTGATTTTCCCATGCTGAGTCATGGGGTCCAAAAGGTTCACGTTCGTTTGCAGCTACCTCGGGCAAGTGAGTGTTGCTCATTGAAACGGAAATCCAAGTCTGGACTTTTGGACTTTTCGTGTATGAAAGGGGGTATTGCGAAGCTCGAGGTTGGTTAAGATTTACGGGGGGTTGTCTGCGAGGGTGAGCCTTAAGAGAGGTAGTTTTTCTTTGGTTGTCCTTTGTGTGGCATGTTGGAGATAACGGTGAACCATGGGGGAAAACTGAGATGACTATTTAAACATAGATGCCAGGGATCTACTATCTGGCTATCATGTATCCTCATGGCATAAGGTCACCTTAATGTTCTTTAACATGCCCAGGTTGTCTACCGGAGTCTGCTCAATCCCTGTCGATCAGGCGTGAAGTAGTTGATTTGGCATGCAAGCCAAAACATATTCCAGCTACTGTTATGAGTATGAGGTAATGCCAAAGCTACGCTTTCCTTAGTTCCTTCTAGCATCTGGTCAAGATGGCTCCTTCGCACGAAGATTGTATTGCGGGTGTGTGTCAGTAAAGGCCCCTCCATGTGGGTTTGCCCAGTGCGGTTTAGTATTGCTTCAGAATCGGGTGTGGTTCCTTTTTTAGGGGGACCCCCCAAAAGAATGTGGTTTTCATTTCGGTGTTCCTTCCAAGTGTTGCTATGCTGTGGGCAGGGCAGCGGACCTGGACCTTGGGCTTGCCGCCTTAAAACAGGAATAAGTTGATTGGCCCATTCAAAAACAAGCGACAATCACGGCGAGGACGACAACAACAAATGTGTCTTTGTCTTTGTCTTCTTCTTCTTCTTCTGCTTCTTCTTCTTCTTCTCTGCCCTGCCCGTTTTCTTTTGTAGGTTGGGGAATGCTCTTGGAAAGACTTTGCCATATTCAACGTCCCAATTTGCTAGTCGACCACCGACAACTTCTCCAGCGAAGTGTCTATACCGAGTCTCAGAAGCTGATGGCATCCATCATGGCAACCTCTGAGGCTGCACTGTCTGCAAAAGATCAAGCCCTCAGCGAGAAGGAGTCTGAGCCAAAGGGTTTGCGAGTATGATGAGTCGCGGTTTGCGGGTGTGGGTTTTAAACCCACAGATGTGGTTAAGAGCCATAGCTGTCCTTTTTAGGTTAGTTTGCTTAGAAATGGATGGGTTCCCACTGATTTAGATGAGTTTGATTCCATTCCCCGGGGCCATCTAGTTAGCCAAAGGTCACCTAGGTTCACAACGACAAGGGGAGTCTGCGTTTTGTGTGTTCTTTCGCAGGACAAAGAGCTGCAAGCCAAAGCGCAAGCGGAGCAGCAGGCGGCCTCCGAACTTTGAAAAACATGAGCCACGTTCTCAAAGCCCGGGGGTTGATCAAGCTTAGTAAGGGGCAGTCCCAGCCGGAAATCGAATCCTTGCGGAATTCCGGCTTTCGAATTTTTGAAACATGGTTCTGGCTTCACCATTTGTGTACCAGGTTTTGATTGTGACTCACATGGGTTTGGGTTTCAAGTTCAACCGATTTGTGGGTCTCTGCCTTTTACATCTCCATACACATTTTTGGGAGACCTTTTTTTAATCGTGGTTTTCCTCTTGGCCTCCCTTTCAAACAAAACAAACAAAGGGTACCCTCGAAACAAGGAACTGTACCCAAATCTGAGCCTTTGAAGCCAGGGGTTGGTGTCCAACCCTTTGAAGGCTGACACGCAATCCGTGTCAGTGCGGCAGGCATTGGAGGCCTTGCAAGCCAAAGATGCGGAGCTGGAGAGTTGGGGCCTGTGACAACTAACTCAATGGCGAGTGACAGGATCGATACAGAGTTATACAGGTGGCAGGCGAAGCACATCCATGTTTGGTACTAGTGACAGTCACAACCCCCCAAACCCCCAACCCACAAGATCGTGTGGAGGGCCTGTAGTTAGTAACTTCTGGCGGATGCTCAGTTTTACACAAAGCGGTCTCGCTCACTCGTGCTTGTGGGTATTTGGCCTGAGTGTAACACCAAAAATGCTTTGACAGGACGAGACTATCGCGCCCTTGTTTGCTGGATTGATTTGGAGCAGTTTTGCTTCCCGTCTCTTGTTCTTCCTGGCCAGCCCTCGCTCTCCTTTTGTATTTTTACTTTCAACCTCATCCAGGCCTTTGCCGGATCTGCGAGGTATGTGATGCTCGCATTTTCTTAGTTGTGGCGCAGCAGGGCACACATCACACTGGTGGGTGTGTGTCGGGCAAGATACAAAAACCGAATTGCACAATTGCGAGGGGGGGGGGAGGGGTTCTTAGGGGGAGGGCACATCAAAGTTGTTGCAGTCAGAAGGCTCGTTGGACTGTTGGGGGTGACCGGTCCGCCTTTTGGGTGTGCATTTGGCTCAGCCTTGACATCTATCTGAAGACTATGTTTGCGCTTCGCTGTATGGCACGGCTGAAAAACAGCTTCGGCCCTTGTCGTTCTGGAAGCCAGCATAAAGTTATTTGCCAACTGGTGTTGACCTTGCAGGTGTCTTGATTAGAGAGAAAAAAGGAGCAGACGCAAGGGACTCATCGTCTATCCGGTGTCATCCAAGTGAGCCATCCAAATCCAGCATTATTTTTAGGCCCTGAGGTAAGGTTCCACGAGGGTTCCACCAGGGTTCCACGAGGTTCTGCGACCGCGTGCTGTTGGGGATTTCACCTGAGCTTATTTCTTTTGCCCCGACCCTTGGAACATGATTCATTCCCATACGAATGGGGTTCCGAAAGCCCACGGTCCACGCCAAATCAAGTCTCTACCTAGCCCGATGTTGTTTCCGGGGTTTGTATTTTGCACCACGTCTTCTGGTTGGTGCACCCTTTTGCTGCGCCAGAGGATTCAGGCAATAATACACCCTTCAAAAATGCGATTGCACGGCAGTATCCCTTAAAGGCGGTTTTGCCCATATTTGCGTTGAACAAGTCCCGAATTGGGATTTCATATGTCCCGCTTTGTGGACTTGTTGGGATATGAGTAATCTTGCTGGTGCGATAAGTAGGGAATGAGTTGGAATGAACCGTTTTGGATTCCTTTATAAAGGAAACCACATCGGTTGCATAGTTTTTCTCGGGGTCATGAGCCATTTCTCATTCCCTATCGCCTCTCTCGCACCGATGACAAGTCATTTCCCGGGTGGATCCCTCAGATGTGTCGTGGTCTTTTGGGGTGGTCATCCACCTGGTAGCAAGGATCCGTAAGAACCATTGTATTGATTCCTAGGCCTTGCTTCGAAGTTCCATTTGCCGACATTGCACAGGCGGTAGAGTGTAATGATTCCTATTGAGGGAGCCATGACCACAGACCACATTGAAAGAAAACAAAAAAATAGACCATGACCACAGACCACAGGCCACATAAAAACCGTAGACCAGAGACCATAAACCATGACCATGCATGACCGTAGACCATGTATTGTAGACCAGAGACCATAGGTCATAGATGACCACCCATAGACCATGTATTAATCGACCATGGCCCATAGACCATGACCAGACCATGACCATACACCATGACCATAGACCATGACCATAAACCATGACCATAGGTAATTAACCATAGACCGTAGACCATAGATCATGACCATAGACCATGTATGAACCGACCATAGACCATGACCATTCCTATTTTTGGTTTTTGACCATGGCCGACCACGGCACCGATGAAAAACAAAAACAACAAACAATATAGACCATGTATTGATCGACCATAGACCATGCCTATGAAGATTTTGACCATGGCACCAAAAAAAAAACGAGGCCTCGCTGCGGAGCTGGGGGCGGCGAAATCGGAGTCCCAGCGCTGCAGCGGGGAGCTGGAGGCCCCATCGGGCGGGAGGGACCTGGGGCCAACGGGGTTCCAAGAAACCAATGCACGGGGTGCTGAAAACGACCCATGTAGCAGGGAGAACCCAGTTGAGGTGGAACCCATTTAGGGCCAACCCATTTAGAGTTGGAAACCCTGGGTCGCTTTGCTTCAAAGACCAATGTAGCATGGAGAACTCATTTAATCCATTTGCTTAAAAATATGTTTGTTTGTTTCCCCTGTTGGTTTTTAGAGGTAATCTAAATGAACTTTCGTGGGACTTGGTTGTTTCACGCTCCGGGTTGTTTGGCTTGCAGTGCTGCCAACTTGAAGGCCAACGCCAGTCAGGGACCCAAACTACTTTGCCCGAGATGGCACCAGGAATAGCGGAACAGCAGAGCAGCAGTCAGTCAAGAGCAGAAGAGCAGCAGTGGCAGTATGAAGCGGACAGCGTCGGCGATGAGGGCGATAAAGCGGCCGGCCGCGAAGCCCAAGAAGAAACTCGCTTCGAGGACTGCTGGGCTCAAACTGCAAAAGCCGAATCCTTCTCGGGAATGTCCTTGTCTCCTTCTCGGCCTTTTGTTGATCAAGCAAATGTTCTACGCTTCGGATGGGGAGCCAGAAGCAAGATCTGTTTCAAATCTTGCGAAAAGCCAGAGCCATACCTCGCCTCATGTGAGCATTGGTGAGCTGCCGCTGTAACCGGAAAGAATACTTCCAGCAATTGGCAGGGCAGAAGGACCAAGTAACCTAAAAACGTGAAGAATGGGGCAAGATCAACTCAGAGGACACAGTCTGACTGTCAGTTGTCGGTGGTGTTTGTTTGCTGGATGGCAGCAAGTACGGTTTCGTGGTTTCCCTTACTTAGGGTATAGGTATAGCCCTTTTGGTGAAAGCAGGTGCCCCAAGCCTTACTTTTTGTGGAAAACGATGCCCTAAAACTAAGGCGCCCGTGGTGCGGGCAATGTTCAACTGCGACCAGCAGTATGACCCTGCAAGCCAACCCCCGCCGATTCAGACTTATTTCTCGCCTCTGATATTTAACCTGAACGTTCCAGCCTATCAGAATCTGAGGCACCCGCGTGTGCCAGACACGGCGGCCGTCAAACCCCACCTCTCGACAATCCTGTTTGCGTATCGGCGCTACAGGCCCTGCTTCGGTACTCTCCAAAGAACTCGCTCTGGGGAGCGTGATGCACGAACCACAGGCGGGAGAAGGCGCCGAAGCACCCAACCTGTGGTTTCAGACTGCAAAACAAAAAGTAGCCAGTCCTTCCCACCAAGAAGGGTCCAGCGCTGGGACACCACGTATCGCCCATTGGGCAGCTTGAAGTCTGTAGGCATCAATTCAGGGCAGGACTGGTAAGTCTCCCAGAGAAACACGACAACTCAAAACCATTTGGCAAACATATTGTTTTGCAAACCCTGCGCTTTCTCGGCGCCAGGAGAAGTTGCGCCCGCAGGCGGAGGCTTTCCTCCGGTATTCTCTCGAAGCCTTGAAAAACAGCCAGCAGAGCAAGTTGGCAGGAAACACGCGGCGCCCCTCAGTTGTGCAACATGGAACTTTCCTTTCTTTGATTGATTCGTTGTTCAGTTCTTGTATTTGTGCGGCAGCAGCTTTGACTGTTGTGGCATGCCGAAAGCCTACTGTCTGGTCATCCCGCGATGTGCACAGAAAGCAACCATTTATTCAGAGCCCGTAGAAGGCTCACCTGAAATGCGGGCGGACTAGGACCATAGGCTGTTTAGCAAAAGGAATCTGTCCAATTTGGCAAGTTGCGGTGAAGGAAAAAGCCTGCGACCCTTCCATGTTCTGTCCGCTTGTTGCAACGCCTACTTCCTTTCCCACGTTCTGACATTGAATCTTGAGATTTGGTTCAAGGGCCCAGGAGAAACACCATGACCCCCAAGAAGATTGCGAGAAGCGGGGGTACATGCGGGTGCCAGCAGACCGTTTGCAACAACCTGGATGATGCTTGCCCTTGGACGAGGGCCATGGAATCTTGCGTGGAAAGCACGCATTCATTGAGGCATGCTTCTGGAACGTCTCTCCCACCTGATGCTGAGCCTTTGCCGGAATTGCATTTGAACGCTGAGCGAGCTCTGTACCTTTATGGCCATGCCTTACGCGGGGACATTGAAAGACATAGCTCACCGTGCTTGGCTTGCTGATTCCACAGATCGACTTTTGGAAGGGTGCTGGGACATGGTAGCACCAGGTCTCTTAAATGACGGTTCCTCAGCAGCTACGCTAAATGGTTCTGCAGTCTAGAGGTGGCCCTTCCACAAACCCTTCAGTGTTTCGATTGGTTTTACACTCTTCGCCTGCCAGGCTTGGACCCCTCGGAGCCAGGCTCAACCTTTGAAAAGCTATATCTCGGTCACCCGCCTCCGGGAACACAAAAAACACGCTTGGGTGGCACCGAACACCCAATTCCTCGGCGAAACTTGTGGGGAGAGTAAAACCGAAGTTTGGCTGAGGACCTCGCAGAGGTCCTCGGCGAAACCCCACCCCACGCGGTGCCAG